GCAATCATCTTGCCTTGAATTTGTCCCGTGAATCGTCCCTGGCTCGTTGACTCGGCTGCATTGAGGCTACCATCGACGGAGCGCTGGGGATGAATTGGTTGGCCGGTAACGTCTTTGAATTGGTCGAAGCCGTAAAACCCATCTCTCTTGGGAATCTGATGACGGTGATATGCGTGTACGGCAATGAAAAGCAAGTTGTCGACCTGGACTGTAGACTTTTGGTTAACAAGAGAGAAGACGTCCTCATTCTTGTCTACCTCGATTGTGAAAGTTGTGCCCTCCAAAATGCCAAAGAGGGCGCCGGAACTTTCCCCTTGATCATTGAAAAGCTCAAAGTGAAGACCGGGCTGCGTGGGAGGTGCGCTGTCCAGCAAGAGGCGAATGGTCTGGTTCCCGGCCTTCTCGATGCTGTTGATGCGCGCCGTGTGATTCACAGCCTGCGCTCTGATCAAGTCACCGAGCTCCGACTGCTCCGTACCGAGATAACCAGGTGCGTTCCAGAAATCTTGGGCGTACGTCGGATCGTGTGATGCAACCCCATCGCTGAACAAAGCCAATACAGCCGAGTTCGTAACGAGGTCGAAAACCTCCCAGACTCCAAGAGGAAGACCCAGCATCGTCGCCTCGTCAAAAACAGCTCGCTCCATTGCGGTCAGATTCTCTCGTGGATCACCCCCGCCAGGCCGGACAGCGTCTACGATTTGGGCGGCCTTGTTCCTTAATACGAGACCGGAGAGCGCGCGTATGGCAGGGTTGTTGAGAAAAGAAACAGGGACTGCTTGGATCATGGGAACAGCACCGTCCCAGACACCGCGGGAGTTCTCAATCGCACCGACAGTCTGCAAGGACCCGCCGCTGCCACCGTAGATGTAACCGTATATGTGCCGACAGCCCGACTTATAGTACTCAGCAGCAACGCGCCTGGCAACCTTGGCCGCAGCCGCATCCGCTCGGAAGCCGATGCTTCCAGTGATCTGGACGGCATAACCGCCGCTCTCGAGCGAGAAGGCGATGGTCTCATCTTTGGCTTCTTCGGTAACCAAAGGATATACGAATTGGAAAAAGCGACCTTCCCACTTGCTACGAGGCGGAAGGTAGATGTTGAACCTCGTTGTTGTCCCATTGAAGTGACCTGAGACGAGCCGATGAGGAACTGGCGTAGCCGCATCGATTTCATCATCGATAATAGCCGTAGAGAAAGAGGGATCCGTGCAATCGGGAGTGATGAAACGAGAACCAGTAGGGAGCTGCTCTGGGCACTCTGGCGCAGTAGATGTGAAGTTTCGTCCCGCTATCTGTGCGAAGACACCGGAAGTCAGTAGGCCAAGATACACAGCCCAGATCATGAGCGCCGAAGGTAGCCTATATACTATTGGTCATTGCACGTTCACTGAAGGGTCTTGGATAACATGGGAGGTTGGCGTGAACGCACCGATAGGCGACATCATGAGACACCATGTTATCCCCTAAGACCTGTGTACAGGCTGTCTGGTGTTGAAAAATGATACAGTTGCGAGCCGATCGAAACCGTTGGAAAAGGGAATATTGATGACTCCAAGTGGGGGATCAAGCCACAAGTCTGGGAGAAGAGTGCGTCAACATTACAGACGAGAGGAGGCATCATGTTTGCTTTATAAGTAATCATATCACCCTGCGAGATGGATTCCTGTTTTGGACTTCTTCAGGAAAGTAGATTACATGGGCTAAGCCTACTCTTTTCCCTGGCAAAAGTACACATTGTTGGTAAACCAAGCCACATTCCAAGCGTCTTGGCCTCCAGATTCGAATGTTAGCATACGTAAAGCTCGGATCTGGCGGACGGACATCACCCGTTAGGACAAGAAGGAACTGCAACTTTAATTCAAGCTTGACAAAGCGCCTGAGCAGAGATATGGACGGGCTGAGAAGACATTTATTGGAGAACACAAGCCATCGTGTTCCACCACGCCACAGCCCATTGCTCCGATTCGTTGCGAGGTGTTGATGAGTGAGGGTGTGACGTCTCCGAATTCGGCCTAGCAAGTGGTTTTGCGCATCGAAATGCGAGAATACGCAAAATCCAGAAGGGCCCTGGTGTTTTCCATTCAATCTGGGGGCCTGGGTTGCGATCGTCGGTTCGCCCTATCCTCTTGGCGAGCCCGTTTGTCAAGTGCTAAAAGTCCTCTAACGACACCAAACAGGGCCTTGGTCTGGGATATCTGTCCGGTTAGTATCAGCCTGTAGATTTGGTGGAGATGACATGAATTTCTCAAATGGTGAGGGCCTTGTCAGGAAGCAAAAGGCAAAATTGCAGGAATTGATGTTGACAGTCCCTCCAGATGGATATTCTTTCCTACAGATATCTCGTCAAGCCCTAGGCGGAGCGAGCTTCTCAGCCTTTGACATTGATGCTTTCGTCCCCTGCATCGTCTCCTTCATCGTCCTCCCCATCCTCCATCTCTTGGTCGTCGTCCTCATCGTCTTCGTCGCTAGAGACGCCTGACCCTTCGCTCTCACCCTCGCTCCCCGGGTCGTAATCTTCTTCGTCCTCATCCTCTTCGTCTTGCAGCTGCAGCTCTGCCTCAGCCTGCGCCTTTTCCAGCTCTGTCCTGCCATCGGTATCTGTACCAGCGGACGGCGCGACATCGCCCGCGCCAGCTGCCTTCTTTCCGGCCTTTTGATTCTCCACGAGCTCCATCTTAGCTCGCCTCTGCTCCGCCATGCTGCGGTCCTGCAACCCATTGCGCTTGACGTACGATTCATCAATTCCCTGGTAGTCCTCCTGGTCCAACATAGCAAACTCGAGCTCTTCGGTCGCGTCGCCCTCGCCAGTGAAAGCCTCGACCACTATGTTGAATGTCCGTTGCAACACGCTCGTGTAGCTCAATGATGAGATCCGTTCCAAGGGGATAAACAGGAGCGGTTTCTTGAAGCCCCAAAGGATGCCGGTCGGCAGAAAGAACAGATATCCATCCTTCGAGCCGCGGAATGCCTTGACATGCACAGCCTTCTCGTTCGGTCGGTGTGGCTGCCTCACCATACTGTGAAACTTGGCGGGGTCGGCTGACACTATGTTGATGGGATTTGACGCGGCACGGAGATGGGTCGTCAGCGCCCAGTCGAACAGCGAGCGGTATGTGTCGGAGACAGCAGCCGCACTGCTAGCCTTGGGACCGAGAATCGTGCCCTGCTTTGGAGCTGTTGCAGGCACGGTGAAGACGAGAGGTTCAGCCGTCGGAATAGTCGTCTCTGTCTTAGAGGGAAGACATGATCCGCGGGGGAAGATGATGTAGTTATGTTGGACCTGCGTCTTTTCGGGAATCGGGAGGTAGAAGGCGTACTCTAGATACCGCAGAGATTAGCTTTCGTCGAAATAGAAGGCCAGGAGACGGTCAATCATACCAATGTCTCCCCAGGCGTACGCGATGCCTGCCGCCGGCGCAGTTGTGCCTGGGACGCGAGCGTAGAGGTGGTTCTCGGTGAAGCACAGCTCAAACTTTTTGCGCTGCGGTACCGACACGGAAATCTCCTTAATCTCGAGCTGAACCGGCTCGTCTACTGCTGCCTCTGCCGCCGATGCCGGAACTGATCCTGCGACATTGATGGTTCCGTTTCCATTGGAGGCCTTGAAGCCGTTGGAGGCGTCGACATCGACTCGACGTCGCTTCGCGGCTGGCTCGGGGCCATTTGTCTGTTCGTACACGAAGCTGGCAATGTCGTTAAAGAGCGTTACTCGTGACGCCGAATCTGTAAATAGAAAGTCAGTCGCGAAGTGATCAAGTTGGGGTTTACGCGCAACATACTGGCTTCGCGCTGAATGCCCTCGAGGATGTCCGGTCGCGACTGGAATACAACTCCCAGTCTTTGAATGTCGAGGCCTGGGGCCATGATTGAAGATGTTGGGCTAGGCAATGTGTGCTCGTTTGGTATTCGTGAAGGCCGGACGATGCGTTACGTCGTTCGCAACTTTTCAAGGGCAATAATGTCGAAATAGGAAGATTTCGTGCAGATGAGTCGGGCTACTGGCCGTGAAGCTGTACGCGCCTTGCGACCAAGTTTTGGTTTCTGCTCTGCCTATAGGTCTCAAGGCTGTGACGTGCATTGGAGATGGTCCGGGGATAGGTCGGGTAATTGAGCCGCCCGCTTCTTCCACCTTGCTGAGAGCAATAACCGGGTATATGGCGTACACCACAAATCTAACAAACAAGCTCCATGGCATGCTTCAATCGGCCTTGAGCATTTCGGGGCCAAATTCAAACGGCTGTTCTATTTACCACTCACATCCAGCCCAAGACGATATATGGTCCAGGCGCATTCTTTGGCCAGCTAAGCAATTGTTTCTCAAAAACTCTTGATCTGCCTAAGAACACCAGGCTTGCTTGTGTCACCCTTGGCCGCTGTCATCTCGACAATTGTCACGCAGTGAAAGATTTCGCAACGTCCTGGTTGAACCTGGTTAGAGCTGGCGACAATCCCCTTCAGCTACTCATATAGGAGTTTGTTCATTGGAGGCAACGCAGTGGCCGGAAATGTGGTGCGTTTCGAGGACGTTCGGTCCTGCAGGCAGATCTACGTTGGAGAGGGAGCCTTCTCGGTATTCAAGATTTCGGCTGGCAAACTGAAGTGGACTGTAATGCTCCGATTGTTTTCGAAGCATCAGAGACGCTGATTTTCGAGATTGCGACGAAGACAGACGGATCTCTTGTGTTGGTGTGGATTTTATTGGGGACTTGCCTCGGACTGACGATGCCATCACAGCCCCTTGCAGGTCGGCGCTTTCTTATCTCAGGGGTCTTATCGCAATGGATCACAGGCAAGCGAGCTCTGACCATCTGGTGCCGAAAGATGGTTAGGGGATCCCACCCCGCATTACGCCAAAACTCCCCCACTGTCGCGTCTCCAGTTACACCCCTCGTTTGGATCGCGACGTCACAAGCGAAGATTGTCGACAGACTCCGGTTCTGTAGCGCGCTCGACAGGGTCATTGGGCAAAGGGTCACCTTGAGTTACAAGTTTGAACCATGTCTTTCGCCAATATTTATACACATCGCAAGGTTGCTGACACAGCCGCGAAAGGGTGCGATGTTTGTTACCGATCGACAACCAGTGTGCTTGTCGCCCCAGAGAACAAGGTCAGTCCGTCTACCCAGGGAGGCTTGGCAAATTCCTGACAGTCGTAGGATTTCTTCTTCGTGTGTCCGAGCCATCTAAAGGATAAAAACTTTTGCGCCCCTATTATCGACACGGCAGCCGTTGAGGCCAAGAAGAAGAAAGAGATGGACGACGAGCTCGAGCGCGTGAAAAAAGAATACGAAGAGAGACAGCGCAAGAAAAAGGAGAGAGAAGATAAAGAGAAGTCGGAGGACAGCGATAAGGACAAGGACAAGAGCAAGGACAAGAGCAAACAGTCCGAGGATAAGAAATCAACCGACAAGATGGATGATGTTGAGGACAAGGCATGCGCAACGCTTCAGCGAAAGAGAGGCAAGCAGCTAACATATTGCAGAGCAAGTCCGACGTCACAGTTGAAGTGCCAGAAGAGGAGCCTAGGGTTTTCTCCCTACAGAAGTAGGTAGCTCCGGCGATAACCCCGAAACAACCAAGATCGCTAAGATAGTGTCCAGGAACTTCTTTGCCCTGCGCATCGAAAAGAAACGGCAGATCGAACTCGCAAAACGGAACAGAGAGCGCATCGCTCAACCAAACTTCTTCCCTTCCGTACCCAAGGGAGCTCCTAATGGCGGTTGAATAAAATCTGCCTCCGGACGTACTATCGACCTGCGATCAAGTGGAGTTGGGTTCAACGAAGAGGGCAAGGTCTCTCTATAACCCCGCGACTTGCAGGGGCGGCAGACCTCCAGAACAACACCCGCACATGCTGTGCGCCACCTGTAGACCAGGGTATCGTTCACGACATGAATGGCTTCTCTGGGTGCGCGGGGGGCACGACCCAATTGGCTTGTGTACGAGGTGAGAAGATGCAGGCTGACACCTCACCAACGAGACAAGCATGGGGACCCATGAACTTGGAGAAAGCCAGCCGAACCATTTCCTATGCCAAGCCGGTTCTGACGCACAGGAAAGCACATGGCTCCTAATATGCACAGAGCAAGAGCGTGTGGCAGCTCTTGTATGAAGTCTTCTTCTATTTATCCAACTAGGTGGGGTGAGTAGCTTTGAATCACCAACTTCCCGCCGTGCGTCACATCACATTGCCACTCAGCCAGGATCTCTCTTGTATTTGACACATTCCCGATCATTCTGTGTTACCATGCACAGCTCTGGCGCAGCTGCAGCACGATTGTTGGTCCCTAATGCGGCTAGTGCTGACCGGCTGACGTGACTTGGCGGCTACTGCACATCAACGGGCTTCAGCCATCAGCATCAAGCACTAGGCTGACCTGGAACAGTCGCCATGTATCAAAACGATGCCGTCAGCAAACGTGTTGTGCCCACAACTGCCCCAGCTGTCCAATATCTGTGCTGTTGTCTCTCTTCACGTCACACGTCTACTCACTCCTCAGTCGAAGTACTTGTGCCAAGATGCACCAGCCATGTGCGAAGAACGCGCGTGGTACACTAGCCGGCCACTCTTGTAAGAATCAACCATGAGGCTCATGAAGATCAATGGGGGCATGCTTGGGGTTCTTGCGCCATGGGGCCCGCCGTCGGATATCCACTCTAAATTGAACCAGAATGCCCGAGAGACAACATGCTCTGGGTAACATTGGCCAAGCGTTGTCTCAAGGATGCTGAGGGGGGCATCTCTCGCGTTAAAGCTCGCGTTATCCTCCGGTGCTGCTTTCAGTAACCCTGTCGGTGCCTCTGCAGGGGCTGCCGTCTGCGTGCCATCGATCAAGAAACGCAGGATCTGCGCGGCCCAGGCCGGGCACCTCACGTAGATGTCAAGTCACAATCGCCGATCTACCTGGTCTTTTGCCGAAGCCGACCGTCCTTGCGTCCGGCCTTGTGGGCAGATCTACGCTAGAGGAGGAGCCTTCTAGATATTCAGGGTCTCGGCAGGCAGATTAAAGTGCTCTGTCATGTGTTGAATTTTCGAATCACCAAGAGCCGCTCAATTTCTGCTCTAACACTTAGGAAGGCACGTGAGGAGGACTCGATCCTGAACTAAGTACGGAGGAGTTGAAAACATCGCGTGAAGCTTGATCGGTAAGGACCAGGTCCGATCAAGTCTCTTTGCTTATGCCCAGAGGTACTTTTGTAGTTTGGGACGTACTTTCAGACCACACCGCGGTGTCAGTCCATCCAAGCTGACACCGCGGGGTAATGCCCATCGCACCCCTCTACCCTTGTCTTGCAGAGGTGTGTACCCGCGGGGCAGCTTACAGTTACTTTCCGATCCCTGATCTGACTAGCTGGCTCGGGAAACACATCTGACAGCCTTGTCATCCGCCGGTCTAGTAAACAGGCAGGCTGAAGCTATCACATGATGTTCCCTGAAACTTCATGTCAGACTAAGCTGATTCCCTGTCATCATTGTGTGCGAAGTCGGAGCTTTGGACGGATGAGCATTGTAATCTCCAAGCGTCATTCTCTCGACATGATTCACCAGCCTGGTGTAAGCCGAGGCGCTAGTATGATGGCTCCTGGTCCGAGCCGTCAAACTTCTGGGAATATAAATGGAAACCATGACACAAGTCTTTGCAAATCGGAGGCATTCGTCAGCAGCCGTATTCAATGGCAGGAATTTCATGTCCTTGAATTGTATAATGAGTTTGGTGCATTTTCATTGTTCAGTCGTCGGAGCCTTGCGAATCAGTTCGAGAGCTGACGTGAGAAGTGTATGTCTGCAACCCATACACCCATACACACTCACTTGAGGTGCGACTGGGAAAGATGAGCTAGGTGAGCTGCAGGCATGATCTCGAAAATGCTAAAATGGTCTTGGCGGCAACGCACATTTGGTGATACCAACACGATACTCGTCATAGGCTTGACATCATTCGTCACCAGCAGCCAAAGCCTCTTCAGAGGGCGATACCACGACATGTAACGTCTTTCGTTCTATCTGGCCCTTCACTAGAGAACCGACCACAAGACCGTACCGGACTGGTTCTAGTGGTATCCGATGGCAGGGTGTTCAGTGCTCCCTGTGCGTCGGAAGTAAACATGTGCACATCTTACACCCCTCTTCCTAGTAAAAGGCCTACCCAGGTTGCATCAACAGACACCTTCCAAGTTTTAGGGCTTACTTGCTGCAGCCTCCCACCCTGGCATCCTGGCAAGCCTCTCACGATGAGCGCAAAAGCACTTGGCTCGGCACGTCGTTTCGAAACGGTACATCCTCCCGTCCCCAGATTCGACGAAACCTGGACGGCTCAAACGGATGAGATCGACAGGATTACTCCCCCCGGAGCGGGCGCAAACGTCGGGAACCTGGGCCAGGATAGCATCCTCTACGGCACATTTTGGGTTCGCGAACATCGTGTCCAATTCGGAGTTCGTGAGCTCCGTGGCAACAATACACAGAGGCCGACACTAGGTCTAGCTCTTCGTTGCCTAGCAGGACTTCATTGCTAGTACACAAAGCGATTATAATATATCACGTGCTGTTCGAGGATAAGCTCACAGTCCTGGATGCTCTGTATTCAATCCAAGGGAAATTAAACCGTCACTGAGACTCACACTTGTTGCTGGACACTTCATCAGACCACGAAGTCCGACAGTGATGAGGAAACTTCTAAATTCATACCAGGACACCGATGATTGGGGTTAAACCACTGGAGGTCGACAATCTTCATGCATGCGTGTATCATGTAAGTCATGGTGTGCCAGTGCAACATCCGAAGCATGGACAAGGCTGGTTTGTTGCGCTTGCACATGAACTCGATGCTACCCAACTCAAAGCCTACCATTGCCGCCTCCCGCCCCAGCCGGCATCCTGATACCTAACGCAGCCCTCTGCGCCCTCCTCGCTGCTTCGGCATCAGCTCCCGTGCCGGCGCCCATGCCCACTGACGCCCGCACCTCGTCCACGCGGCCCCTGGCGAGGCTAAACGCTGGCGTGACCCAACCGCCGCAACTGCACTTGAAGCCCCTCCAGCTATATCGGCCCAAGCTAGCACCACATTTGTCACTTGGGCAGATGAGCCGGCCTTCAAGCTCTGCTTGCTCGAGTGTGGGACGCATCCAGCTGAGAGGCTCAACAAAGACATGCTGACATGCCTGCGACGCAGGCGACACGCCCGTGACGGGCTCGTGGTCGAGGACAAATGCCGATGTGGCCAGAACGCGACGGCACTTCTTGCACCTCAGCTCCTTTTCCTGCCCCGTGCCGGGGCCTGAGGCACCGCCCTTTGCCCTCTCCTCATCCTCGAACCGCAGGCGCGACGGCGCCTCGCCCACAGCCAGACTCTCCTCCACCTCCCGCTTGTACGTCCAGCGCTGGTAGATCTGGTGCTTCTCCAGCTCTCCCTCCTTCACGGGGCAGCCCATGTCCCACCACATCTCGAGCTGCGAGATGAAGCCCGGGTTGGGCTCGGCAATCTCGCGTGTCTTGCGGATGTGGGCGACGACAGCCTCGACAGCTTTTTGCGCGGCGTCGCTCGTCCCCTGCCACTTGGCCGTCGAACTCACGGAGGAATGAATCTCGGTCGCTGCCGGCCGCTGGCCAAAGCGAGCGGGGTGCTTGAAGAGGAGATAGGCGGCGACGGCAGTGACGGATCGTGACTTCCCCATAGCACAATGCACGTACACCGCCCCTGGCTTACCTGCGCTTGAGAGAGACAGGTGCTCGATGGCAGGCACAGGCGTGATGGCATCGGGGTCGGCAGACCGTGGGTCGGCCGACAAAGCTGGCGCGTCGTTCTGGCTGGGACTGGCGGCAGCACGAAGACGATCAGCCTTGGCTTTGAATATTGGATCCTCGGTTGTCTCGGCTTGCTCGTCGCTGGCTTCATCGTCGCTGGGGGCAGTCGCATCGCCCCCAGCCGCGACGCCGATGACATCTGCCAAAACCGCAGCCTTCCGGCCATTCCTCACTGCTTTCTTTTCCTTCCCTTCAGGTTTCGGATGGAGGGCATCGTCGATAAATCTCACCGCCCCTGGCAGGTGGTAGAGTAAATCTTCATCGTCCACGTCATCCACATCAATGACCTTGTGTCTGTACTGAGCGCTCCAGTCCTCTGACGGGTTGCACCGCACCACGGACAGCACGTGGGTGATGCCGCGATCACTCAGAGCGGTCGGACGTTTGAGTGCAAAAATCCTTGAGGGTCGTCAGTTGGCCTTGAATGCAACATCTGAAGGGGCACAATCAGGTGGAGCCCAGGCAACATACCCTCCCACGTAAAGCTCCTCGTCGCCATCGATGCGATTCAAGGCCATCTCGACGCAGCTCCTTCTGAGAGATCCGGCAATGTCGTCGGTGATGTCGGCGCGTGTCGAGTGGTCGAGCCTTTCCATGTGCAACACAAATGAGCAGCTGTTGACGGCTTCAGGGGAAGGAGTTTTACCCCTCACTTAGCGTAGTGGGGTGTGTAGGTGACGTAGTGTAGCGATGTGGACGACGTTAAATGTGTTGAACAGGATGGGACAGATCAATTTTCATGGCATGAAAGTCCTCTAATTTTATTGATACCTGATGGGACACAGTCTGTCAAGGTCATCTCTGTCATCATCTACGATGACTTTCTTTCTATGATGGCCATGTTTTCTTGAATCTAAAGCTCGTATAACTGACTCTACCGTATTCGAGGATAATCCAGATTGCAAGGCAGGGCAATGCTATATCGGGGTGTCGACTCGCTAGAGCAATAGCACGCAGCCTGTGACAGAATCCGATGCCTCACTGGTGAATCTTGACAATAATGTTCTTGCCCTTGCCCAGGCTCAGGTACTTCGCCCACAGGGCGGCCACTTCAGGCTGCTTGAAAGCAGCACCAGCCTCCTGCATTCACAACCGTCGTTAGCCATGGCCAAAGTGGAACCAAGTGTAGCACGCAAGACTCACCTCGAGGCTATCCCATCCGATGATGCCCAAGCCAACAAAGGGCTGGTCGATGGTGCGTCCGCCAAAGGCCTCCTTGCCCAGCGCTTTGATGACATCCTCGAAAACCTTGCGAGCCTCGGCGTGCTTGCTCTCGTCCTCGATGTGCAGCGTCGAGTACTGCAGGTAAGGCGGAGGGGCCTTGTCTGCGGGAAACTCAGGCACCTCAAAGCGGCCGACCGCCGGCAGGTCGCCGGACTTCTCCAGGTACCGAGCCTTCTGCTCCTGTGACCATGCCGAGTCGGCGAACGTCTTCTCGTCTTCGGCCGTCTTGAATGCTGCGCACGTGTCAGATGATGACTCTTGTCATTTCGAGGTCCGCCAGCACCCACCGATGGCCTGGACAAACTTGAAGTCGGTCACGGGCGCGCCGTCCTGGCCGACGATCTGACCAGCGGTGACGCCTGCGACACCGGGCTGGCTCTTGATATCACTGAGAATCGTAGGCAGAGCAGCGAGGAACTTGTCCTGGCCCTCGGCGGGGATTTCAGGGGAGACGATGGACAGGATAGGCATGATGGCAATTGAGAATATGTCAAGCAAAAAAAATACGAATGCTGGCTATTGAATGTTTGAGATGATGAAAACTGTGGAAAGGATGTTGCTGATGGTCGAGAGAACAAGAAAGGCCCCAAGTCAGTTGGCCTTGATCGTGCTTTTATGTGAGGCCAAACCCGAGCACCATACGAAGCCGCGCATATGGGCCCTTGGCAAGGCAAACTTGAGACGCAACGCGACGCAATGATGCTGTCGCGAGATTTGCCTCGCGAATTACGAAGCTCACCTCGGATTGCCTCGCAAGGGCGTGAAACTGCAAAGCATCAATCAATAGATGGCTTAGCCTCCCAACTGGCGGTCTGGAATCCAGGTGCGTCAGCGGAAGGCATCAGTCTGGCGTGGTTTGACGTCGTCGGCCTCGGTGTCCTGCCAGTCCCCGGTGTTTATGCCTGATGAGCACCGACCTTCATGCATATAAGGAAACCCTCATCCCAGCAGTCGGCCAGTGGCTGTACCTGGCTTCTAAGCTCGAGGCTGCGTTGGACTGATGAACCGCAGGGACAGCAAATGCGAGCACGACGTTGGCACTGCGAGCCTGGGCTTTTGTAGAAATTGGGCTTGCTCGAAAGCCATAATCTTGTAAAGTGACATCCAGTCCATCACAAAGAGTGGTTTATGCATTGAGGCTCCTCCCCGCGAGACACAAAAGGGAGAAACTGAGACAGGGAATATAAGCTTTGAGCCCATGTTCGGGGTGGACGTAGCGGCGCGGAGAACGGGAACGGGCCTAGGAGCGATACCGAGACCGAAAGCGAGTATACCATGTCCACCCGGCCGGTCCTCTCGGCCCCTGAAGGTCCAGAATGCAGCCCTGAATGCCGGCAATCGTGGGTTAGGGCTGCTCAGGTTCGAATACAATCACTCACGTCGCCAACAACGGCAGGTCTTACAGCTTGTTCACTCCATCGCATCGAGCACAATGAGGGTGTTGGCCTAAACAGGCGTCGCTCTCGGTCTGGCAGAATTACACCATGACACGATTACCGACCAGTCATTTTGACATGCGCCGAAGCGACTCCATCAACTCATCCACTGCTCTGACTGGCGTGCAGCGAACCAACTCCGGCATTTCATCCATCGAGCACTTGGGGGTCCCGAGGACCGACTCCAGCAGGTCTGCCGCGTCGACGGCCAGTTGGTAAGCTTCCTGCAGGTGACTGCCACAGGTGCATATATTCAGCATTGGGGGGGTTTAACAACAAGTGACCACAGGGGTTTGGACTATCTTCAAGAAGAGAAGATTGCGCCGCTCAAATGGATCAAGTCTCCGGTGAACGTGAGGACAGACAGCAGTAGAGAGGCCAGCGACAATGGCGAGGAGAACAACAAGAACACCAATGCCACCACGGCCAACGAGGTCTTGCACCTCTCTGTACGAGAAAATGCCAACACAATCGAGCTCTTTTCCGACCTTTTCTTTATCGCGAACCTGGAAACATTTACCAGCGCACATTCAGTCAACAACGTCAACACTCTTGTAGCATATATTTCCTTTTTCAGCATCATCTGGTTCACCTGGTTCCAGATCACCCTCCACGATGTCCGCTTTTCCTTGGACTCTGGGTACGAACGCGTCTGCAAGCTGGCTCAGTTCTGTATCTTTGTGGGCTTTGCCTTTGTGGGGTCATCCTTCGACCCGGAGCAAGATGGACAAAACAATCAAGTACGAGGATGCCCGCCGCCGCCGCTGCCGCTTGAGACGTGATCATTCACGAATGAAACTGACATGTCTGTTAGAACTTTCGCATCTTGTGTCACATCCTCCTGGGTAGCCGCTTTCTCATGGTCATCCAGTACTCGGTCGCACTGCACTTCGTTCGGAGGCACACGGAGAGCATGACCTGGCCCCTTTCGTTGACGATAGCTACCCTCGTCTTTTCGGGGGGTTCGTTTCTCTCCATGACGGTGTCCTTCAATCCGGGGGCCAAGCCTGGTCTGGGTATCTATTACTTGTATTATGTCATCTTGGGCGTAGAGGCGGCCGTGACCCTCGGCATCTCAATCGTCTGGAGGAAGACGGGATTCAAGCGCACTCATCTTACAGAGCGCATGGGGCTTCTAACGCTTGTCATCATCGGCGAGGGCGCCATTGGAGCGACCAAGACGGTGGGCAAGGTCATGGGCAACGATGACGTGCGCCTCGACGCAACTCTACTGATCGCCTGCATGGTCTTGATCTTGGTATGGCCTACCAAAAAAAAACCCCTTTTGTGACGGACCTTTCAGTGCTAACACGAAGGACCGCGACAGCTTCTCTCCTGGATGCTCTACTTTGACAACCCCCCCGAGTGCAACTTTGGTAGCATCCGCCAGCAGGTCTGGGCCGTGCTGCACTTTCCCTTCCACCTCGGCATGATCGGCATCGTCGAAGGCTCGCAGCAGATCATCCTGGCGTGGCACGTGCTGCGCAGGTTCATCTCGTTCCGTAAAGATGTGCGGGTGGCCTGCATCGAGCAGCACCTCGACGGGGCGGCCCTCGTGCGCGCCATCACAAAGGCACTGGACGAGCTCAAACTCGACGACGACTCGAACGGCAGGGACTGGCTGCCCCGGATTCTCGACGAGGTCCGGACGCTCGGCAACACGACCGACGTCTGCTCTCTCGGCAGTCTAGGCGCCGGCACCTCGTCCCTGCCACCGGCCTTTGACACGCTGACGAGGACGCTGACGACGGCGCTCGCCGACTCGGTCAACCCGTCGTCGTCGTCCGCGGCCCTGCCGGCCCAGCACCCGGGCTACATGGCCATCTACGCCTACTACTGGGGCTCCCTGTCGCTGGCCCTCGTGTTCCTCGCCCTCTTCATCCTCATCACCCGCCGCACCGACCGGCCCCTGACCCTCTCGGACCGCGCCGCGCTCGCCGTCCGCGCCGCCGTCGCGCTCACGGCCCTGGGCCTCGCCGCCGCCGCCGCCTCCGACCGCTTCCTCATGCTCTACCTCGAGAACGGCGCCACGCTGCCGACAGTCGCCGCCTGCTTTCTGATCATCGTCGCCTTCGACCGTTGGGCCAAGGGCGTCAGCGCCAGCCGCCTCAGGCGCGAGCTGACGGGGTCTCTAGAGTACTGGGATAAGGAGTTACAAGAGTAAAGTGTAGAAGAACCTAGATAGCATCTGTAATGTGAAATTTTGTTTACATGGAAGATTGAGTAGCCTAAAAGGCTCTTATGCTTGAATCACGACTGGCACAATGTGGAGTGTTGCCAGCACGCAAGCGCCGAGAGTAGAGTCCGTGTAGGCATCAATCACGCCTGTGTCCGATCGCCACAGGTCGGGTGATGTGAAGAAGGCAAAGATGTCACGGACAGGCGTATGGGGCACCATCAGGCCACCGTGTGTTCATTGCTGTCCCCAGCCCTCAAGTCGAAAGTTCAATCACTAAGACACTACTAAAAGGTTCGTCTCGGTCCTCTTCATTGTGTACTCATGTCCTGGCCATTTTAAACGCACTAAATCAGTCCGCCACGCCCCCATGATGTTACTGCAGTCCGCGCGAGAAACATAATACGTTCATGCGGCCCAAGTCTTCCCTCCTCTGTATAGCCCCCCATGATAGATGTCCATTCAAATGCAAATCAGACGCGCCAACACCCGAACACCACCTCGTTTCTCGAGGCACATGCATTGATTCACCCGTTGCCATGAGCACCCAACAATGAAAAAGACAAGAAAAGTCGTCCAAGGTCCACGCCCTACTTCCAACCGGGTAACGTAGTAGCGAATCCTAACAATCATGTACCCCCATATATACGTGACAAGGAAAAAAAAATGACAAAAGGCCTATGTGAGGACGGATTGTGGAGGTATTGAATTTCCCCCCTTGGGCTGTCAGAAACCAATCGAGCTGCATCGTGCGTACAGGTGACTCGTTTCGCATGGCAAATTGGGCGAATGGGAGATGCGCGTGGCGTACCGAGCATGCTCTACACCAGACGAGGGGTCGGTTCGTTGGCTCACGCCCATCCTGTGCCACAGGCCTACTGTTCTGAGTGACGCCTCCAGCGGGAGATCGGCGTCCAGTCGCCGCGAAGTGATCCTTCGGAGGTCGCTCGCTTATCATGGCTCGTCAGAGACATCTGTCATGTCAGACGGGTGTCTGGTAGGACGGCGGTTGGCAGGGCGGAGCTGATGTGGGAAAGAGTCGATCTCGAGAAGCGCCGTCGAGATTTGGAGAACACCGAAGCCGGCACGTCGCAGTTGCCAGCTGGACGCATGCGCTACCACAGCGAAGGGGGGGGGGGGGGGGGGGCGAACGGGCGCGTCACCGGGCGA